AAGTGACTCCCAGGTATTTGGGTGTGTTGCAATGCTCCAGTGGGATTCCTTCCCAGGTAATCCTCAGAGCTTTGATAAAAATGATGTTTATGAATTCCTCTATAGAGGGATGTGATCTGCCCTTTTTTGGATCAATGTGCAGATTGGCGATAAGCCATCACAATTCTCTAAAACATGTCATTTTGATGCATTCTGATAAACCTTGACCCGCTTCATATCCTGGCTTTCTGTGGGGGCCCTGATCCATTTTTGGGAAACTCCTGAAATGAAGAGGGCAGGTATCTGTTTTCACTCTAGGGTGCCAAAAGATCAATTTTCTATTGGTCCATTATATTGGGGAGGGGGGCTCCCCAGGCACCCCTTCCCATCATTTAAGGCATTAAAGCTTTACTCTAGAGGAGAGGTACTCAGTTGAAGGCAGGTATGCACTTTAAAGAAGCTTCATACCTGTTTCTTACTCTAGAAGACGCTCTCAGCTGCAGGTAGATGTGCACTTTCTGGGCCTGTATACCATGCACACTTTCCAAGGTGAGGAGACAAGTTTACTCCAGAGGATGCACTTGGCTGTGGGCAGGCATGTGTGTTTTCTGGGCCTGCATGCCATACGCACTTTCCAAGACAAGGAGGCAAGTTTCTGGGCACCACAATTGAAGAGAGATATTGACAAGCTGGAATGTGTTCAGAGGAGGGCGACTAAAATGATCAAGGGTCTGGAGAACAAGCCCTATGAGGAGTGGCTTAAAGAGCTGGGCATGTTTAGCCTGAAAAAGAGAAGGCTGAGAGGAGACATGATAGCCATGTGTAGATATGTGAGAGGAAGTCATAGGGGGGAGGGAGCAAACTTGTTTTCTGTTTCCATGGAGACTAGGACGCGGAACAATGGCTTCAAACTACAAGAAAGGGGATTCCATCTGAACATGAGGAAGAACTTCCTGACTGTGAGCACCGTTCAGTAGTGGAACTCTCTGCCCTGAAGTGTGGTGGAGGCTCCTTCTTTAGAAGCTCCTTCTTTAGAGGCTGGATGGCCATCTGTCAGGGGTACTTTGAATGCAATATTCCTGCTTCTTGGCAGAATGGGGTTGGACTGGATGGCCCATGAGGTCTCTTCCAACTCTAGGATTCTATGATTCTAGAGTGAGAACATACAAGGACTTGCAACATTTTAAAATGACCAGTCTGTTACGAATCATGAAAGCAACCAGCTGCTACTGCCAAGCAATGCCGAATTTACTTTTAAAGTAGCTTTGTTCACCGCATTTCTGTTTGTTCCATCTACAATGTTGCCCCTATGATGCACTTTCACCTATCCTAAACTGAAAGCCTAAACCCATTGTTCATCCTTTTGGGCTCCTCTCAAATGCACTTTTTCTACTCCTACTTCATCCAGGGTTTTATCATTTTACCTTGTCCATTTGGCCTGCCCATTGTGTTCAATTTTATATTATGTTATTTTGCTTTGTTTACTCTACTTCGTTATTGTATGTATTTTACGGTGATGTAATTTCTGTTGCTTTTGTTGTTTGCATTTTGTATTTTATTTTGCTGTATTGTATCTTTGGGCTTGGCCTCATGTTAGCCACCCCGAGTCCCCCTTGGGGAGATGGTGGCGGGATATAAATAAAGAGATTATTATTATTATTATTATTATTATTATTATTATTATTATTATTATTTGAAACACAACAAGATGAGTCCACAGCACACTCTCTGCTGGCTGTTGAATTGGATCACACGTCAGACACTTCCCAAGCCTGCCTTACTTTCAACTCAAATCAGTTAAGATAAATTCTATTATTATTATTATTATTATTATTATTATTATTATTATTATTATTATTATTATTTGAAACACAACAAGATGAGTCCACAGCACACTCTCTACTGGCTGTTGAATTGGATCACACATCAGACACTTCCCAAGTGTCTAGGACTGTGTGATGTATCGGCAAATAATGTGTGCAGATCCTAGTATAAGGTGGGCTTCTGCAGCTGGCAGATGGTAATTTTGTCAGCGCCGATTGTGTTTAAGTGCAGGCCAAGGTCTTGAGGCACTGCACCCAGTGTACCGATCACCACTGGGACCACCTTTACTGATTTGTGCCAGAGTCTTTGCAGTTCGATTTTTAAATCCTCATATTGTGTCAGCTTTTCCAGTTGTTTCTCTGCAATCCTGATGATGATGATTATTATTAGTAGTAGTAGTAGTTGTGAATACTCAAAATACTTTTAAAAAGATAACTTACCAAACTCTGAGAATGACCCTGAAGACATGAAAAAGCAAGCAAGCTAAGGAGTCAAACGTCATCACAGAAGGACGATAATCCTCGTATTTCTTAAGCTCACAGACTTTGATTTGGGTCCTTTTGATGGCTCTGGAATTGTTCAAGGGGTGATTTAAAACCCTTCAGCCACTAAATGAGATTGTGCATGTAGTAGCCAGCATGCCCTGTGTCAGAAAGAGAACTTTCCAAATTTAGTTATAGCTCACGGAGCCATCGATCAGGTGTTTTGCAGCTGAAACAATTTCCAGAAACATCAATATGTCATTTATCTGCTTTAATTGACCTTGGGAACGGAACAGGTTCAGAGGAGGTCACAGCAAAACTGGGGTTAGACAGCTGTTTCTGTGTTCTGCCTGGTTTGTTTGGAAAGAAATTATTCCTTCTGGGCACCATGGACTCCAATTGGCCAGTGCTGGTTGAGAGTGACACCATACATGGCTCACTCATAAAAGTTTTCCATTCTTAGAATATGTGGGCATTTGTTTAAACACCTTTGAAGAGCTCTCTGGGGAAATTATGTGGCCTTCCAGATGTTGTGGGACTACAACTCCCAGGAGCCAATATAGTAAGGAATGCTGGCTGCTGCATTCCAGAAAAGTAGTTGGAGGACCACATGAGTGCCGTTCCTGATTTAGAGAAGCTGCGATAAGACTTCTCATCAAAGTTGCTACCGGTTTGTTAGAAAGACTATTGGACTGCATAGGAACTTGTTTTAAATATATATTGCCATGAAAATCCTCTAATGAGAAAATTCAAACTGAAGCAAAAAGAGACACCAGAAGGTGAATTTCTTAGGTCAGATGTCACTGGGATACAGAGGCTGGCAACTAGGAGTAGCATCGTAGCTGTACTCAAGGGGATGCTCAGCTGTTGACTTGCTCAGAGATGAAAGGAAAGTCTGAAGCTGCACAAAATATTATAGTAACATGGGATGTAACTGATACATTACCTCTCCGAACGTATTCTTCCCTACGAACCATCAAGATTATTAAGATCGTCTGGAGGGGCCCTGCTCTCGGTCCCGCCGGCCTCACAAGTGCGGCTGGTGGGGACGAGGGACAGGGCCTTCTCGGTAGTGGCCCCGCGACTCTGGAACTCTCTCCCGCCAGAGGTTAGAACCGCCCCAACAATCCTGACATTCAGGAAACAGGTGAAGTCGTGGTTATGGAGACAGGCTTTCGAAGAATGAGACAATGATCTGGATGGAAGACGGTGTATATTCGATTTTAGTATGACGACTGACCACTGTAGTTTTAAATATATGTGCTTTTTTAATGTTTTATTGTAATGTGTATTTTGATATTTTACAGATTGTATGTGTTTTTATGGTTGGAAACCGGGCTGAGTCCCTCTTACGAGGTGAGAAGCTCGGTATATAAAACTTTGAAATAAATAAAAATAAATAAAAAAATTATTGAATCAATAACTAATCAGAATTTGAGAGTACCCAAAATAACAATGAGATATATATCTATATCTCAATCTAATCTAATCTTGTCCTATCTATCTATCTAATCTCATCTAATTCATGGGGTCTAGATCTGAGCTGGACAATGGCACTAGGCTCAGCTTTTCTACCTCCAGGAATCTCCAAGGGAATATTTTGGAAAATTGGTGTTGTAATTTTAATGCTATGCAATGCAGAGAAGTCTTGTAACCAAATTACTATTCTAAATAGCTTCATGGAGGGGCAATTTTGGACAGACCAGAGAAGGATAATTTGGGGGCCATGTGCAGATCCAAAGCTACATTTTGTCTTTCATAGAAGACCAATGATTTATAGAAGTTTGGAGTTGTAAAAGTCCACAAGGACCATCTAGTTCAGTCTCCTACCATGTAGGAATACCATGCAGGAATGCAAAAGCAAGTCTTCAAAGATGGAGAGTCCATCTCACTCTGAAGCAGTCTATTTCACTATTGAATAGCAATCTTCTGCAACTTTTTGTATCTTGCCCCAGAATTCCCTTGCTTTTTTGGCCAGAGACCACCATATATGGTTGAATGTTCCCTCTTGTTTCTTACATTTCAAACAATATTATTTGCTCCCTTATACATTTTGACAAGTCTTGCTGGAGTCAGAAAGGTACCACCTCTTCATTATCTTGTAAAAACACTCTCTACAGACATAAGATTTCATGTAACCCAATAGTCCACATTTCCCCCATTTTCCTATATTCTATAGCGTGCTGTACATTTTGTGCCCATTTAATCATACTTTTCTTTAACAGTTGTATATACTTTGTGTATCAGTTGTGTACACTTCATGTATCTTCGTGTATATACTTCCTGTATCTCTCCAATACAGATGTTCTTCATTACTACATAATT